TTTTGCATAAAGAAGGTGTGATAGGCAAAATGCTGCTGCCAGCAACTGGAGCAGCAGAGGCATTGATGTCAGCAGTACAGGAATCTGTGTGTGCTGATTACCATAATCTTGAAAAATTTGCTACTGTCCTGCAAAAATTGTCCTTTACTGCAGCATTTGGAACCTTGATGAGAAAAGATTATAGTGAGTAAATTTTGTAGTGACTAAATTAAATTACATGTTTTAAATTCCCATAGTTGAGAAATTCCCAACAGAAATGAATCATGACAAGGAGAAGGATACAAGTATGATAAAATAACAATGTCAAATTTACAGCATTATTAGGTATTAAACTCAAGTCAGTTGATCAGTTCATCAATGTCAGAAGTAAATTTGCAAGCACTGTCACTGATTTTTCCCAAGAAATGAGTCACATTTCACCAAATTTGTTGAAAAAGTATTTTTGCTGTGGTTATTCCTACCTTGCTCATCGATTAAATGATTTTGATGCTACTGACGATATGTTGGAACTAGTCTGCAATGACCACTGTTCTCTCATTGATGTCAGCCTATTGGAAAATGTTGCTCGTTATTTTAAGGTGGATAAAGCAATCGCCTTAATTGATGAATACAAAGAAAGTCTTCAAGAATTCAAGTCACTTCAAGACCTTGTAAATAAAGAGTTATTTGCTGGTTCACCACTTAAATCTGAAACAATTACATTTGTTGTTGATAGAAGTGTTAGTGACTACACTTTAAATGATGTCCAGCTTTTGCTAACCTTTGCATTCAAGGAATTAGCACCCCATGTCACAGTTAAAGTCATCAAGGAGGCTAATTCGTTTCTTGTCATTTGTTCCTTTCCTCTCACTCTCTCAGAACAATTGATTGCAACAGCTGGAGAGAACATTGAGTTACTTCAAGAAAATGGAGTAAAGAAATTGACCATTGGCCATTACACTGTATTTGACAATGATGAGGTGGGTTATGTTATACATTTAAATCTACTGGCTTCCTTAAATTAGGCTGATAAAGATGCATCCAAAAAAGCCAAGTCTCAAACTTGTGAGTTAAATTTTTTGGAGTTTAGAAATTATGCTATTTTATACAGCAACTGATGAAGAAGAAATTGCAGAAGAACGCGATAGTCAGAGTAAACTGGAGCAAATAATGATATCACAGGATGTGCAATTATTAAACAAAGAACAGGAATTGATTTGTTTGAAAAAGGTATATCTGTATCTATTATAATTTATTATAATTTGCAGGAAATTGAAATTCTTCAAGCACGAGTAGAAGAGCTGATTACTGATAAAGGTAGATTGACCAATTTTATTTTAGATTTTTTACTATAACAACTAATTTCCAAAGCTCTTAATGATTATACTAGTCTTCAAGAGAAATACAAGGAATTGTTGAAAGAGAAAGAAGGTAGGATTTTGATGTTTTAGAAATCTTTTTTATTATTAAATAATAAAGAACTGTTGAAAGAAGTTTTAAAGTTAAGGAAACAAGGTATCCACTATGATTAAGTAAACATGCAGTATCACAACTATTAATTTTAGTTCAAAAACCATTGGAAAGAGAAAACATTCCTATTGTAAGTAGGCTATTGTGAATATATATAATACTAATTTTATCAAACCTGAAGATATTTGAAGATGATGTTTATGGGGATATTGTAATTGATCATCCTTTAATTGTGAAAATTGTAAAAACGCGTCAGTTTCAAAGACTGAAGGATATTAAACAATTAGGTAACCTACTGCAGTATTGTCAATAATGTAAAAAAGCATGTGTCACAGGCTATACTTACCTGAATATACCTAAAGCAACATATTCAAGACTGCAACATAGCATTGGGTAAGAGTTGATGCTTGACAAATTTATTCAATATGCATATTTATTAATCTATAGAATGTATTATCTTGCTGGGAAATATGTGAAACGGCTTCAAAGACAAAGTGATTTGGAAATTACTGAGTGTGATGTTTTATGCGTGCAAATTGCTGCTCTTTGCTATAACCTTGGTTTTGGTCCATTTTCTCATACTTTTGAAATTTTTTTGGATGAGATCTTTCCTAACAAAGATGATAAGCCCTGGAAGGTAGGTAGTCTTATAAAAGTTTAATTTTAATATAAATAATATTATTAACTATAGGGTACTCCTGAAGCATCTGTCAAAATGATTGATTACATGATTAAAGAAAATCAAGAATTACAGCCTCTGTTTCAGAAGTTTTTGGAAAATCCTGAAGAAGATATTTCATTTATCAAAGATCTCATAAAAGGAGACAAAAGAGTAAGTATATGGAACACATGCAAAATTTATTATAATACAAATAATTATAAATGGATAATAAAATTGAAGTGAGACTTAAAATTAATTTTCACTATTTAATTAGGGACATCGCAAAGACAAAGAATTTTTATACGAGGTAGATTCTACTATGTGTGCAGTAATTACACTACTGATCAATTTTCAGATTGTGCATAACAAGGAGAGTGATTTAGATGTTTGTATGATTGATTACACAACACGTGATGCTGCTGTTTTGGGGATGAAAGTCAGCTTTAAATGGAGGTAATTTTAAAATTTCAATAACTAGATCCATAGTTCATTCATAGAGTATTTATCAACAGAGTTCGTGTTTTGGAGTGTAGTGATCATAAACTGCACATTTGTTTTCAGGAAGATGTTAGAAAATAACTTACATACAATAAATTAATGGCTTCTAATAATATTTATTCTTTAGGATTTAGATATATACAATGACTTGTTTAGAACTCGTCATAGCATATACAGAGAGTTGTATTACCTTCGAAAAAACAGAATAGTTGCTGCAATGTAAGTGTTTATATGAATTACTGTCAATCTACCTACTGATAGGATTGAAAGAATATTGATTAAATCCAGCAAAACTGCACTAATCAGGGATAAAGATAGGTATCATAATGATGTTCATACTTTTTCTAAATGTAGCCTAGAATGGTGACAGTATTAGAAGCTACAGAAAGCATGCCTGCTTATACTCGACTCACTGATGGTGTTCTTAATCTCATCAGATCATTTGTTAATGACACACAGGTTATGAAAAATGAAGGAGCACTTAATATTATTTTCTTTACAAAAAATAGGCACAAGTGTTATTGGACTCCCTTGACACTTTAAAACTTATTGCACAAATTGGTTACATATCTGTTGGGCCAGAAACTACTTGGAACATACATGACATGGTATGAAATCACATGTGTTTATTTTAGATTAATACAAGAGCTGAATAAGATTAACATCTAATATTCATTAGAAACAAAATATTGCAACAGAAACTAAAATTGACGATATTGCTGATTCTCTGATAATTGATGTAAGTTACAACAACTATCATACAATTTTATTAGTTCTTGATGCAATGTAGCCTATAAAAACCGGGTTTGAGAATCATCGTTTTTACACTCAACACTATTACTTCAATGACAACAAAACAGGAAAATGGGAAAATGAATGGGTTTGTTTTATTATAGCACAATCAAAAATGCAATAAACAAAAATAGGCAAAACCTCCAGATAACATGGATATAGCAGCACCATGGCGTATCTTCCTTGTAAGCGGTGATATGGAAGTAATAGAACAAGTACAAAGGTAGGTCAGCATACATTAAAATCAAATTTTTACTTATATGGTAATTTTAACAGTGACTGTAGAAAACCTTTCTAAAAGGAATCAACTTGTCATGGTATGATTGAAATAATTATAATACAATATTTTTATCAATAACAGAAAACTTATTCAAAGGAAGATAATGATGACCTCATGCCAAAGTATCAAATTACTAGCTCAAGCTGCTTACTAGACTAACACAAGTTTAATGACAAATCTCTTCCGCTACTGTCTATACATTTTATACTATACATAATATAGTTGCTATAATTATATATAATATAATATATATGTTATGTATATATATATATATATATATATATATATATATATATATATACATGTATATATATATTGCTATGGACTAGTTACATTGCTGATATTTTTCTTATTGATTGAGTGTATTATTACGGAAAGGGTCTATGCCTTCTCAACACATCTGTAAAGACAAACAACAGAGTAAGGGCCTCACCCAATTATTATTACTAACCATACCCAGACATGTGCATACAAGAATAAGACAATCAGAACTGCTTCACCAGTAAGGGCTTCACCCAAATGTACAACATTAAGTGGCCATGGCTCCATACCCTGACGTACGTGTTGTCTACACTATTAATTATTATGTACAAATTCAATGACAAGAGTCATGAAAAAGAAAAAGGGAGGACCCAGTAGAGAAACAAAAAACAAACATAAATTTAAAAAATAGCTAAAAGAAATAACATTATTATTCATCATTATTATAATCATCATCATAATAAATCACAATAATTACGACAATTATTAAAACTTAAAGGGAGGCTTGCACGCAAAAATTAAATTTGAGATTATTGCTTATTTTTAATGTAAAATACCCAAATAGACTATTCCTAGTTGCATTCTTGCATTGCACTTGCTTTGGGAAAGTTAGAGCTTGCTAAAGTTGCTGGTGGCCATTGCTTCCTGTTAGGGGGCGCGGTCATTGATGACATCACAAGGGGAGCCAACATGAGCAACTGCAATGCTTTACATGCAGAAATAAAGAGAAAATAACTTGACAAAAAGAGGGATTATTTATTGACAGTTAAGTTGTGGGTGCTTTGACACTTATAAAGACAAGGTAAGCATAGAAATTTTTTCAAAGAATGCTAAAATCAGAGAGAAATAGACTATGACAAGTCGAGATTTAGCATGACTTATAGAT